GGCTCCTGGGATAAAGTAAGGCTCTTTGCCTGTAATTAGGGCATTTAACTGTTCTCTCTCAGTGGGTTTGTCCCCCAACTGGACCTGGTCAAGGAGGTCGGTGGGTGACCCGTTCTCTAAAAGGGCAGGTAGGGGCCCTGCTACCAGGGTCCTTGGTAGCAGGGCTACATACAGCGGCTACATCCTCTGGTCTCCCTACGTACTCTTTTAACATGTTAATATGAAAAGCTCGCTTTAGCCTCTCATCCTTGCAACTGGCAATTACCTACGTTGTGTTGCACAGCTTCTCTATCACCTTATAGGGTCCTTGCCAGGAAGCCTGCAGATTATCCTGCTTAACATGCTTTAGTACTAGGACCTTTTGTCCTATATAGAAAGTACATAGTCGGGCACCCCTATCATACCACACCTTCTGTCGCCCTTGGGCCGCCTGGAGATTGTCTTTGACTGTCCGAGCCAGCTGCTACATGCGGTCCTGAAACTTCATTACGTTTGATAGGATGGAGGTCCCTTCACCCTCTGTTTACCCCTCCCAGTGCTCCCTGATGAGATCAAGGGGCCCTCGCACCTCCCATATAAGAGCTCGAAGGGGGAAAACCCAGTGGATTCATGTGGTACCTCCCGATAAGCAAAGAGGAGGTGCGATAGGAATCGCTCCCAGCCTCTGTATTCGCTGGTGAAAGTCTTGAGCATTTGCTTCAAGGTTCCATTAAAGTGCTCACAGAGACCGTTAGTCTGGGGATGGTAGGGTGAACTAAGTAGTGATTTAATACGGCAGACCTTCCACAGCTGTTGGGTCAGTTCTGCAGTAAATTGTGTGCCTCTGTCCGAGAGGATTTCCTTGGGAAACCCGACTCCGGAGAAAATATGTACCAGAGCATTAGCCACAGTGTCTGACTATATATTCGACAGAGCCACTGCCTATGGATTGTGAGTTGCGTAGTCCACCACGGTAAGTATATATACCGGATGAACTAGGGTTGGCGAGGGGTCCCACTAGGTCAATGGCTATCCTGCTGAAGGGTTCTTCAATAATTGGCAGGGGTACCAAGTGAGCCTTGGGGTGATCCCCTCGTTTCCCCACTCACTGGTACACATCGCAAGTTCGGCAGTAATCTCGTACATCAGCGTGTACCCCAGGCCAGAAGAAGGTCTGGGCTACCTGGTGTAACTTTGTTTTCCAATCCCCCAGCCCCTGTCTCTGCCCTTTCTCTGTATTTTCGTAGGGAGGAATCCTCTCTAGTCGCTTTCCCAAACTCCGGAGTGTCCCAAGCTATCACAGTCTGGGGGTTAGTCACCGTCGGGGGGTGTCTTCCCTGGGTCTCCCGAGCTGGTGAACTGTTCCTTTCGGTTCACGCTTGTACCCTGGTCATCACGGGGTGAGCCGCTGCGGTAGAGGTGGGGATGTAGGCAGAAGTGAGGGGGCCCAAATTGTTGCCCAGAAGAACTTCTGCTGGCAAATTGTCCTGACTTTTACTACACCGGATCCGGCTCCCCAGTCTAGGTGAACGCGGGCAGTAAGCAGGCGGAACAGCTATGGTTTGGCCCATACGCTTATGGGCTGGAACCAAGTGCCTCTGTACCAGCTTAATAGTAGCCCCAGTGTCTCGTAATCCTTGGGCGGCCTCCCCATCAACCTTGAGCTCTTGTCGGTGCTTATTATCCCCAGAATCAGTATATATTCCTCAGGCTGAGTATCGGTGTCCAAGCAGTGGGCAGCCAGGGTACGGGATGCCGCAGGGGCTGGCACCGGTGGTGAGTTGTTCCAGGAACATCTGGGAGGACTAAAAGGACAATTGGCCACCAGGTGTCCTGGTTCGTGGCATCGGTGACACTTCACCTTAGAAGACTCCGAACTGTTTCTGGGGGGGGATCAGCATCGCGAGTGAGGTCAGGTGGAACAGGGGCCCTTAACTCCGGTTGTTGAGGGAGTCTGGATACAAGGGAGGCTCGAGAATCCACTCGAGGCTTAGGTCGGGATAACGCAAGATCTAGTCGCCTAGCATCCGCATATTCATCAGCCAGATGGGCCGCCTCTATGAGGGTATGGGGATGTCGGTCTCGCACCCAGTGGCTTAATTCCTGCGGTAAGTTGTTGAAGAAATGCTCCAGAAGAAACAGCTGCGTCACCTCCTTGGCAGTATTGGCTTGACATCCCTCGATCCAATTGGTAGTGATGCGGCGTAGCCAGTTAGCCCATTCCATGTGGGTATCACAGCCTCGTTGTTTTTTTTGTGTCTCAGAATTTTCGTCGGTATGCCTCAGGGGTTATGGCATACCGTTTAAGTAGGGTGTCTTTGACAAGGTGATATTGTTTTACCTCGTCCTCTGGGATGGCCCAGAGGGCTTCTGTGGCTTTCCTGGATAGCTTGCCGGATAGGATGGTGACCCAGTCCTCTGTGGGTACCTGGCGAAGCGTGCACTGCCTTTCAAAGTCCACCAAATAGCCGTCAATCTCCCCCTCTGCTTCCAGGACCAGTTTAAATGCAGCAAAATGTACCTTTCGCTTTTCCGGGTTGGCAGGAATAAGAGTGACTGTGGGTGGCTCTGCAGAACATTGAGCGGCTACCATCCTCAGCTCGTGTTCTGTCCTCTCCTGGGCTTCTGCTCTCACCTCTGCAAAGGCCCGCTTGATCCGATCCTCGGGCAGGTTCGGCCCATAGATTGCCAGCCATTCTCATGCAATCTGGGTGATTTCATCCCCAGATGGCATAGAAGGTTCTGCCATGGTAGAGTTATGATCCAACTGCTGTAGCTCCGCAGTCGGCTCCCTTTTAGGTTGGTTGCTGGCAATCCCTCCAAGGCTTTCCAGTAGATCCTTGAGGGTTGTCCTTTTTAGCTGCTCATATCGGTTTTCCATCCGACTTGCACGCCTCCTGGGGTAAAAGGACCATCCCACTTCTGCCACCAAATGTGACGGTTACCCCTATAGAGTGGGGGTATCTACCAGCTGGACATTCTATTTCCCATAGATGGAGTTCCATCCCGATATCCTGAGGAGCTGCTATAGCTGAAGAGAGCTCTTACAAGAGCTAGCAGTGATATAGCAGTTACAGCTGTTCCCTACAACACGAGACGAGGCTGTGAGTTAAGGATAAGAAGGTCTGATTTATTGAGCACTGTGACGAAGTGCCCTTGGCCACTTGTTCTTGGAGAGGACTAACGGCTAGCCTTTTGCCTTGTGACTATGGCCCCTGGGAGTTATTGCCATTTAAAAGCCTTTATAAAAGCCTTTATTTATGGCTAGTGTACTTTGGAGACTGTTTCTGGCCCTTTAAATTGTATTGCTGCAATTCTGCACTTTTGAAGTGGCATTTCGGATGCAGCAGACGTTGTCGGAGTGGCCGCCATTCGACAAACGAACACGTGGCGGCAGGCATTTTAATTAATTCGAACGCGTTCAGCTGTGTTTGGTCATCGAGTTCATGGAACTGAAATCGGATAGGTGACGGCATGAACACCGCTGAACTTCTACCTTCTCTGTGACTTCGACGCTTCGACAGTAGATGAACAGCGTTCCACTATACGAACACCACATTAAGATTACCTATTTGCACAAACAGCCACCATTTGTGCATTCGAACAGTATCTAACTATGGTGAATAGACCGGCCGCACAGCCCAAATCCTACTGTTTTAGGCTTGGAAATCTGCGTGCGGTCAGTCAAAGGAGATTTCCAGCTATCTCCCGAACCACAGTGCCAAATTTATATATTAGATGAGAGACATGATCGTGGAGGAAATAAATCATTTATTAAATAATTCATACTTAAAACAAGCCAAGCATTTTTAAATTAGAAAAAGCAGTTATAATAACTTTACATGACAACTAGAGTATATGCACATGTAGAAAAAAAAAACTAAAATATAGCAATATATACATACAGAAACTAATGTTGCAATAAACAGGACATTGCACAGGATATTCTAAAATACAAGAAATCATACGAACAGCATAAAATATACCTCATGAATACCCTTCTAATTCCTAAGGAGGAAGGGAAAGAGATAATAATGTTAAAAATCAATACATAAATAAAAATTACTGTGAATTTAAAACATATCTACAAACTATTATATAAATCGAAATCTATATTCAATCCGTGAGGTTCCAATGTATTTAATCTGTGTACCCACCTCATCCCTTTTTTACCTATTTCTATAAGATGGTTTCTTTCTCTCTTAATTATTTCAATTCCTAAGAATGTTAACCCTTTGGGGTCCTGATGGTGGAACTGTTTAACCCCTTAAGGACCAAACTTCTGGAATAAAATGGAATCATGACATGTCACACATGTCATGTGTCCTTAAGGGGTTAAAGTGTGCCGAAACACTATGTTGTTCATAGCCTTTGAGAATATTATTTACGTGTTCGTATATCCTTTTATGTAACGAGTGAATTGTCCTGCCCACATATTGTAACCCACAGGGACATATTAAAAGGTAAATCACATTTTTACTAAAACATGTAATAAAATCTTTTATACAAAATTCTTTGATACTATGTTTCGTTCTGAATTTATTAATCCCTTTTAAAGTTTCGTTTTTTTCTACATCTGCATCCAGCACACTTATTACACAAATAAAAACCTTTTCTATTGTGAAGAAATGTGGTTGGTTCAGCCACCTGGCTGATCACAGACAGCTGATATCACACGGGCTCATCTATAGCACTCACCTCCAAAATGGCAGAAGCCCCCTCTTCCTCTGATCCTCGGCAATAGCCAACAGTGCTAGATGGGTGTGCCACACTGGATCGAATGCTGATGCATTTGGACAAAGCTTTCGCCCGTTTCTTGGGGCAACTGGAGGCACGAACCGTGCCAGCAACTACTAAGAGCTAGGAGAGTGAACGAGGGAAAGAAAAGGCGGCAGGGTACATGAGCCCCTTTCAGGGTCTGGAATAAACTGGCACTCAAAGAACAACAAGATGACGGGCGAAAAGTGAGTGATTCACCCAGAGTGTCACAGCCTCAACCCCAGCACAGTTCAGCGGCCCTCATGGTGCGGAGAACAAGAAAATGGTGGTGGAACAAGCGGCAGCTCCCACGCTCTCAGGCCAGTTCCCAACCGAAGGCGGAGGCAACTGGAGTCTATCACAAGAAGCAAGCTCGACCTGCGGCCTGCTACCTGCAGCGGCATGACTCGGAGATGGCGCAGACGGCAACACTACTGAGGGCGACACATTCTTGCCATGGGTGCCTGAGGCCCCTCTGCTTGGTGCAGGGCTGTGCTCTACCTCCTGAGGGTGTAGACTGAGTTGGGGCAAGTGGTGGGAATCAGGATAGCTGGCTTTTTCACATCTGTTTTTATTTTGTGTTCACAACTGAAAGCTATATGTCCTTGGTTTATTTTTCCATACAAGATAGTTATTCCCTTTTGGCTCATAGAGTTTTTATTTGTGGGATTGCTGGTTCCCTCTGCTCCATAGAGTGTCCATAGCTACCCGCTGGGAGGATAAGGCTTCAGGTATCTTGACGTTTCATGCCTTGCTTGTCTATAATGCCTACTTAGTGGAAATGTCTCCTTTAAGCATGTTCTTTTAAAGCGGCACTGTCATGCCAAACTTACCTTTCCTCAATCTCTTCCTCTTCTCCCCCTCTCTCATGATCTGTTCTTCTTTTCTTCCTGTCTTCTTTAGTTTTCTTTAAAATCATAAGACAAAGTAGGGACTCTTTGCCTTATGGAGGATTCCTCCGCTTGACCAGCTCTGACCAGCGGAGGAGCAAAGTGTGCTTCATTTCCGCTGGTCAGAGCAATTTTCCCATGATCCTTACCTTTCCTCTGTGTTCCCACAATGCTTCCTGTCACTTTACACAAAACTGCCGAATTGCGTTCTAACTGAATGAGAACAGTATGTTCGTTTCTTTTAGAACGCAATTCGGCACTTTATTAGGATCGCAATTTCATTCGAATGAATGAAACTCCGATCCTATTCTTGCTGTGGCTGCATCTTGCAGCTGCTTAGTAGATAACTCCCTAATTCTCACGGTATCAGGGAGCTATCTACTAAAAGGCTGAAAGACCTACATTTGCTAATACCAAGTAAAGATTACTTCGTATTAGTAAATAATATGTGGCTGCTCACTGTAAAAAAAAAACAACTATTGGCCCCCACCCCTAAACGATGGGTGGGGGCCCTAAAGTAAAATAAGTCTGGGGGTCATAATGATAATGGGGGGGGCCTACTGCCCACCCCTAGGCAGCGGGTGGGGGCCATAAAGATAATGGGGGGGGGGGCCTACTGTCCACCCCTTCTCTGGCCCCCACCCCTGGGCGGCGGGGGGGCCTACTGTCCACCCCCCCTCCGACCCCCACCCCTGTGCGGCGGGTGGGGGCCATAAAGATAATGAGGGGGGGGACCTACTTTCCTCCCCTCCCCGGCCCCCACCCCAGGGCAGCGGGTGGGGGCCCTAAGTCAATTCTCCCCCCCACCAAGGTGACTAGGGGTCCCCAAGACCCTAGTCACCCACCCCCCCACCCAAATAAAAAGTCCCTACCTACCCCCCTCACCCTAAAAAATAGTGAGGGGGGAATAAAATAACTAACCTGTAAAATTAAATTAAACTTACCATTCGACGTCTTCTTTTTTCTCAAATCTTCATTTTTTTCAGCCCCAAAAAAGGCCAAATAAAAAACCATCATAACCGTCGAAATGAAAATAAAATAAAAATCCTGATCCCCAAAAAAAAAACCAGATGAAAAAGCCAGAGCGCCAAAAAAGAATCCATCTTCACCCGTGGAGGGCTCCGCGCAGACTGAGCTCCGCAGGGCGGGGGAAGGCTTATAAAGCCTTGCCCCGCCCTGCAATTAGGCTAAGAACACTCTGATTGGTGGGTTTAAGCCAATCAGAGTGCTCTTTGTCATTTTACACAGCGTGGGAAAATTCCAAAGAACTTTCCCACGCTGTGTAAAATGACAGAGCACTGTGATTGGATGGATTTCACCAATAACACATTTAAGCACTATGTTGTGCCTTTCTTCTTATTTTCCCTGGCAGATCTACCTGTATTGCCTTTATATAAATAATAGAAGTTAACTAGAATGAATGAATTTTTTATGACAAAGAGAAGAAATCAACACAAGATACGATACAAGATAAAAAACTGATAATTGATTGTCTAAAATAATATCAGAAAAACCTTTTGATACTTTTAGGGGAGCCCCCAATTTCAAACAGGATTTTACTTTTAATCATCCTAAAAGAGAAATATCAACCACATTTCTTAGTTTTTTTTTTTATTCTTTATTTTGGTTGTGCATAGGCGATACAGACATGCCTGCAATGCAAACTATTCAATCAGCATTGTAAAACAATTGTATGGTAATTGAGATCACTGCACATTGTTTGTTACCCAGATATGTCAAACGTCATATTGATATGAAGGAACATCAGAGATTAAAAGAACATGTCTTAAAGAAGACATTTCCACTAAGTAGGCATTATAGACAAGCAAGGCATGAAACGTCAAGATACCTGAAGCCTTATCCTCCCAGCGGGTAGCTATGGACACTCTATGGAGCAGAGGGAACCAGCAATCCCACAAATAAAAACTCTATGAGCCAAAAGGGAATAACTATCTGGTATGGAAAAATAAACCAAGGACATATAGCTTTCAGTTGCGAACACAAAATAAAAACAGATGTGAAAAAGCCAGCTATCCTGATTCCCACCACTTGCCCCAACTCAGTCTACACCCTCAGGAGGTAGAGCACAGCCCTGCACCAAGCAGAGGGGCCTCAGGCACCCATGGCAAGAATGTGTCGCCCTCAGTAGTGTTGCCGTCTGCGCCATCTCCGAGTCATGCCGCTGCAGGTAGCAGGCCGCAGGTCGAGCTTGCTTCTTGTGATAGACTCCAGTTGCCTCCGCCTTTGGTTGGGAACTGGCCTGAGAGCGTGGGAGCTGCTGCTTGTTCCACCGCCATTTTCTTGCTCTCCGCACCATGAGGGCCGCTGAACTGTGCTGGGGTTGAGGCTGTGACACTCTGGGTGAATCACTCACTTTTCGCCCGTCATCTTGTTGTTCTTTGAGTGCTAGTTTATTCCAGACCCTGAAAGGGGCTCATGTACCCTGCCGCCTTTTCTTTCCCTCGTTCACTCTCCTAGCTCTTAGTAGTTGCTGGTACGGTTCGTGCCTCCAGTTGCGCCAAGAAACGGGCGAAAGCTTTGTCCAAATGCATCAGCATTCGATCCAGTGTGGCACACCCATCTAGCACTGTTGGCTATTGCCGAGGATCAGAGGAAGAGGGGGCTTCTGCCATTTTGGAGGTGAGTGCTATAGATGAGCCCGTGTGATATCAGCTGCCTGTGATCAGCCAGGTGGCTGAACCAACCACATTTCTTCACAATAGAAAAGGTTTTTATTTGTGTAATAAGTGTGCTGGATGCAGATGTAGAAAAAAACGAAACTTTAAAAGGGATTAATAAATTCAGAACGAAACATAGTATCAAAGAATTTTGTATAAAAGATTTTATTACATGTTTTAGTAAAAATGTGATTTACCTTTTAATATGTCCCTGTGGGTTACAATATGTGGGCAGGACAATTCACTCGTTACATAAAAGGATATACGAACACGTAAATAATATTCTCAAAGGCTATGAACAACATAGTGTTTCGGCACACTTTAACCCCTTAAGGACACATGACATGTGTGACATGTCATGATTCCATTTTATTCCAGAAGTTTGGTCCTTAAGGGGTTAAACAGTTCCACCATCAGGACCCCAAAGGGTTAACATTCTTAGGAATTGAAATAATTAAGAGAGAAAGAAACCATCTTATAGAAATAGGTAAAAAAGGGATGAGGTGGGTACACAGATTAAATACATTGGAACCTCACGGATTGAATATAGATTTCGATTTATATAATAGTTTGTAGATATGTTTTATATTCACAGTAATTTTTATTTATGTATTGATTTTTAACATTATTATCTCTTTCCCTTCCTCCTTAGGAATTAGAAGGGTATTCATGAGGTATATTTTATGCTGTTCGTATGATTTCTTGTATTTTAGAATATCCTGTGCAATGTCCTGTTTATTGCAACATTAGTTTCTGTATGTATATATTGCTATATTTTAGTTTTTTTTTTTCTACATGTGCATATACTCTAGTTGTCATGTAAAGTTATTATAACTGCTTTTTCTAATTTAAAAATGCTTGGCTTGTTTTAAGTATGAATTATTTAATACATGATTTATTTCCTCCATGATCATGTCTCTCATTTAATATATAAATTTGGCACTGTACTTTAGCCAACAGGATCCAGTAGATCACGGACTAAAGTGAACACACGCCAACATAAGGCGGATTTATAAGTAAAATGCTGGCAATGGGAAAGTAGATCTGAAGAAGCCGTCATCATGCTACGTCAACACGCACGCAAGCTGACGCTAACCCAGCCTCCCAGAAGACGAAAGCAGAAGCCAGACCTGATATTGTGGCCAGATTGAAGGGACTGTGAAGGAGCTTCAGGAGAAGGGTCGGAGGACAAAAGAACCGCTAGCCTGCAGTTTTAAAAGGTTGTCTGTAATAAAGATTTAGAATTTTACTACAGCCTATATTGCCTACATTCCCTTGGGATCATTGTTTGGTGCCTTTGAAGTTAGGGCACCTGTGAGTGTGAATTTCATACTATACATATTTACTTATGTCAAAACAATATTATACCATATTTTTTCTTTTCTTTTTTTTTCTCTTTTTCTCTCTTTTTTTGTATATGGATATTAATTACTCTGTGGGAAACATATTTTAAGTGACCAGAAGAAAGGTATTATTTTAAAGGTGTTAAGTGTATCCACTGACCTCTTTAAGCACCATTCAAATGGCATTATTGCACTTAGACACAGCACACCTTTCCCCCCTGTTTTTGTTACAAATATTGATGTGTGATTTTATTAGATTGACAGTTAGTACAGGGAGTGCAGAATTATTAGGCAAATGAGTATTTTGACCACATCATCCTCTTTATGCATGTTGTCTTACTCCAAGCTGTATAGGCTCGAAAGCCTACTACCAATTAAGCATATTAGGTGATGTGCATCTCTGTAATGAGAGGGGGTGTGGTCTAATGACATCAACACCCTATATCAGGTGTGCATAATTATTAGGCAACTTCCTTTCCTTTGGCAAAATGGGTCAAAAGAAGGACTTGACAGGCTCAGAAAAGTCAAAATAGTGAGATATCTTGCAGAGGGATGCAGCACTCTTAAAATTGCAAAGCTTCTGAAGCGTGATCATCGAACAATCAAGCGT